CCTCTCGGCCAAGTCCTCCGCACTCTTCTTCGGGAACGCCTTCATCGTGTCCGCCATCCCCATCTGTGAGTACGGAGAGCGAGGCGGGCCCGGGAGGCCGCGGGCGAGGACGTGGCAGGTCGTGCAGACTGCGAGGCCCGCGCACACCCGACTCGCGGCTCTGGGGGGAAGCGCGCGGCCTCTTTGCGCCTGGGACTTCCTGGCCGGGGCGGCGCTTGTGACTCTTTTTAGAAGTACGCGTGTCCCGGAGCCCCACGGTGGAGCCTGCGTCCCTCGCTCGCTCTGCGGTGGCGGCCCCGAATCTGTGTTAAACCGACGGCCGGTCTGAGAATGTGCGTAGCCGGGACTCAGGCGTGTCGCCTGATGCCCTGTCCGCACAGCTGTCATTTGTCATTAGGAGTTCTTACACTTACAGCGTTACTTACTTTGGAAAAACGAACGGATTAGGTGAGAAATCTACCACATCGTCCTCAGACTGAATTAGGAATGTATCCGTAGGCGAAGCCCTTCCCAGCGTCTTTTGCCTAATTTGCAAAATGAGAATGCCAGGGGTCAGGGAACTACCTTGTTTAGCCGTAAATAATCCTACTGCGAGCAGCTCTGATTCTCACTTGGATGGGACCCTGGAGACTAGGCCAGACTCATTTTTAGAGGGCAGGGTTCCTGAATTTGAAACTTCTGTCTCTTGTACTTCATTTCACTGTTTGCAATCAAATCCAGATGTATTTTCTCTCTCAACCTTACACAACTCAGCGTTAAGTAATGTGTGGGACCCCATGGTTCCCTGGCCTGGCAAAGCACTGCTTTGATTTCATATAACAGCCACGTCAGCAAGCAAACTGATGCTTTGGGTCTGCACGTGGCATTTTGGACTAGCCCGAGTCTGGCATAATGGTACGAAGTCCTGTGATTATATAGAACCCGAGTTCTTTACTCTTGCCTTGGAGGTAGAAATCTCATCTGGACTAAGACGAGGGAGGCTATGTTTTAAAAACGGTTCTGAACCAGGAAAGTTATAAACTGTGACTGTCACTGTTACTACTGGACTTCTCACTTCTGAAGGGACGCGGATACTGTACTGGATTCCCTAACCCCAAGTGTGTTTTTACCACCAAGCTAAACATTAATTGATTCAGCAGGTCTTTGGAACGAGGTAGTAATGTTTTGTTCCTTTTATCTTAATTCAGGGTTATATTGGAGAATATGGCACATGGATCTTATTCAGTCTGCTGTTCTGTATAGTGTGATGACCCTAGTAAGCACTTACTTGGTAGCCTTTGCGTACAAGAATGTAAAATTTGTTCTCAAGCACAAGTAAGTATATTTTTCAAGTGAAAGTGTATATAACATACTGCATTTTTTATAATAGGATGTCTTAAAGGTCATTTTTGTAGGTGAGTTTCAGTAAGCACAAATATGAAATACATATGCATGTATATTTTGGGGGAAGGCACATTTGTGCTAAGAACTGTTAACTTATCAAAAGACAACCATCTGACACAGTAAAAATGAATGATACGATAAAAATAGGAAATAGATTTTGAGGGTGAAAGAACATTAAGCACTGGCCTTAATTGTGGGATTCATCAGAAAGAAAGCCTACCAAGTAACAACATTTTAGAAGCCCAGTGGAGTTCTTACGGAAAACTGTTTTGGGCTGTTCACTTAATAAAGTGAAAGAAACGTGTGGGGTGTTTGTTTGGTTTTGTTAGTTTAATATTGGGGATTGAACCCAGGATATCTGAGACAGGATCTTGCTGAGTTGCCCAGCCTGGGGTCAGACTTCTGGTCCCCCTCTTTCAGCCTTTCAGATTGCAGGGATTATAGGTGTGCAGCCTGGGTTTGATTTAAAAAAATTTTTTAAAAAAATCAAATTCTGATATTTTCAATGCAATTAAATTGTTTTTTATAAGTGTATTTGATGTAAAGGAGTACTAACATATTCCCTGAATTTTAAAGTCACACATATTATATAAAATGTGTAATTACTTTAACAACAGCTTTTGGAGAAGAAAACCCCAAACGTAACAACAATATATTTATACATTAATTATAAGCAGTTGTATACTCTTGTTTCAGAAAGGTTGAAATGTAGGTAGAGTCTAGAGATAGAGGAAAGATGAGAGTTTATATCTGAGTGCTATGGTTCTCGTGGGAAGCAGGTGTGAATTAATGTTTAATTGGAAAAGGGACAGCAGGACATTTCTCTGTCTCAGTGGGCCTCTAGGTTTTGTGTTTCTTTGAAAGTAATTTTGTAAAGGCAGTTGGAATTTTGCTGAGATTTTAACTATTGGGATGTTTTGTTTCCAGATTATATTTTCATTTCCATAATATTCTCTGTAGTTTGAATGCTTTTTTTGTTTCAATTGCTATAGCAGTTTCCCTCCATCTGATCTCAAAAAAGTTGAGGGCCCACCCTGCTGTGCACTATATAAAGTGTATTACTCTGCAGTTTTTCCAACATCCAGGCATTATCCTTGTTTTACAGCATTTGGAATATATAGTCCTTCTAATTTGACATCAGTTTTATTATGTCAGTGTCTTAGCTCATCACAGTCTTCTTTTTTCTAATGTATTGAGGCCAAATTCTTACAGACTGGTATAATGTGGGGCATCAGTCTCCTTCCTGTGAATGTAGCCTCATTTTTCAGAATTAGAACTAATTTCTTTCTTTTTTTTTTTTTTTTGTACCAGGAATGGAATTCAGGACCTTGTGCTTGCCAGGCAGGTGCGGCACCACTTGAGACATAGTTCTTAAGTCCCCGACCTGGGACATAGTTCTTTTGACTCAGCTTTGTGTCATCCTTTGAATGTGTCTTGTGCCATTTAGGATTATCTCTCTTCGTTTCTATTCTTGTATATATGTTATTTTGAGACCTAGGGAACTTTTCCAGAGAAATGTTTCCTGACTTTGATCATTCTTTTGCTTTGTTGTGTGCATTAGTCTCTTTGGGTGATAAGGAATAATACTTCGTGGAGATGATGTCAGTTAACAGGGATTTTTTTCTGTTTTCTTTTTGTCCTCAGCAGTTGAAAGTGGCGTCAACAGCTTCCTTGCCGACACTCTGGAGACATAAGAGCTCCGGTTTCATGGTTGCAGTTCTGATAGAACAGCAGAGTAATTAGGTCATCTTTGTCACCTTTCTACTTGGCAGCCCTTTTGCCAGCTGCCATTCTTGGATCCAACCTGTCTTAGCCACTGCTGGTCTGGACGGTGTTCTTGTGAGGCATGGCCATCTGGGGCTAGGGAAACCCTCAGAAGTGGGCTCTTGCCCAACCTGTCCTTCATAATCCTCTTGGAACTCAGTCCATTTGGAGCTTAACATTTTGACTTGTTTTGCATGTCATTTTTACCTCTTTACAATCGAAGCTATTTTCTTTTTACCTTCTCATTTCTACCTTACATTTCTTTTTTTTTTGGTCAGGGATCGAACTCAGGACCTTGCGACTGCGAGGCATACCTTATATTTCTTGAGGGGGCAGCTGCTATATCTTTTGCTCTATGTCTCTTTGTTGCTGCTGCTTTTGTAGATTGTTTGTTTGTTTTGGCAGGGCCTCGCTGTGTTCCCCAGGCTGGCCTGGCACTCTCAGCAGTCCTCCCACCCAGTTTCGGGAGTGCTGGGAGTACAGGTGTGTGCCACCGTACCCGGCTGCCTGTGTCTCTTACAACAGGCGGTGGTACGTTTAGTTCAGTAAAATCGCAGGGACTCTCTTACTGAATAGAATCTTAGAGTGAGTTTTTTAAAAGTCACAGTCTTAATCATCAAAACTCATATAGCTTCTTCCTATTTCATACTATCTTTTATACATTTTTGTTCTTATTTACCCTTTCGTTTCTCATACCAGAGAGACAATGTGATATTTATACATACGTGTCTGATTTATTTCACTTAAAAAACAAAAAGGAAAGGGAAACTATGGGTGGGATGGAAACAGTGTAAATAAGGGGGTATGGGAGTTGCAGGGAGGAGATGGGATTGGGAGAAAGAGGAATCAAGATGTGTCATGTACAGGTACAAACTTCCTTTGATGTGCGTGATTGTTAGGTTTATTTAAATTGTACCAATAAAATTAATTTTAAAAAAGTGATTAAAAAACTACATATTTACAAAATGGCTATAGTGCAAAGGCCCAGTGAGAGCTGAGAATGGTGGTGTACACCTGTAATCCCAGAACTCTGGGAGGCTGAGGCAGGAGGATCATGGAGTTTAAGGCCAGCTTGGGAAAAGACCCAGTGAGATGCTGAGTGCCAGAAGGTAATGGTGGTAGAGGGGAAATGGCTTCAGAGTCAGTCTGCAGTCCAGTGCCACCTCTGCTACTTTAAATGTGTGGTATTAGACATATATCTTGCCTATGTAAAAGTTATCTATTATTATTACATTATTACTGTCAATTATTGAAAATTTCTGACATACTCATTAAAAAACAAATAGAAGAGAAACAGGTGGTTAATGAATTGGTTTTCTCAGTTGGCTGAATGTTAGGCCAGTGGAATGACATCCATCTTGTTACAAAGCATTAAGTACATGGGCCAGGGATTTAGCTCAGCGGTTCAGTGGCCTGCCTTGCAAGCGCAAGGACCTGAGTTCAATCCCTGGTACCAAAAAAAAAAACATTAAGTACAAAGTGAGGTTTATTTTCTCATAGACCTAAAACAGAGGCTAGGACTGTTTTCAGTTGCAGTAAACTTAGTGTGGTTGTCCAGCGTCTGGTGTATGAATATAGAATTCTAGACCTAGAAGAGAAATTACTTCGTTATCTGGATAATCTCTTAGGAAGATTTTTGATGAGAATAGATGTTTATTTGTTTTAAAGATGCATAATGATAACTAACTCTTAAAGATAGTTTGTATCCTGGCATCCTCACAGTTGCATGTATTTTTGATGTTCAGCTAAGAGAATTGTGCTGTGAAACTATGCCTGACTCTTCAGTAGGTCTTTTATAGGAAAAAACAAAGCAGCCTGAAGTGTTGCCAGGGATTTAGCTCAGTGGTTCTGCCTCCTGCCTTGCAAGTGCAAAGTACCGAGTTCAATCCCTGGTACCTTAAAAAAAAAAAAAAGGGAAGAAACTCTTACTGCCTGGTCTGCTGAAGAGGAATCTTTGCTGTTGGAGTCTGGCTTTTCAGGAATGAAAGAAGTGTCTGAAAAGATAGTTTTTACATAATAAAATTATTCAAGTGAAAAAAATTAGTCAAGTGAAGTTGGATCTTTGGAGTAAAAGTACCTTGTTAAGCTCTAAAGTATCTTTTTTTTTTTTGGTACTGGAGATTGAACTCAGGACCTTGCGCTTATGAGGCAGGCAATGGAACCACTGAGCTAAATCCCCGGCCTTCTAAAGTGTCTCTTTAAATGATTGCTGTCTGTCCTCTTTAGGTTTTTCCTTTAGGTTTTTAGAGCTTACTTCCTTTTATTTATTTTTCTTCAGTTTTTTTTTTCAGTAACTTTGAGACATTTTTAAGAGTGCATTCATTGGAGCTGACAATTTCTTTAGAAAAGTGTCAGTTCTAACTCAGTTCTTCAGTGAGAAAGCTAGAGATGGGAGCGTAGGTAAATCAGTCACAATTTATGCTTACATTATAACCCAGAAGCACTTGTGTTGACAGGATTGAAATTTACTTCCTTGAGTGATCTTGAATTTTCTTTTGTGTAACTCACTCTGATTTCACCAGTTTTCCTTAGTACCCTGACCAGAACCAAATGAAATATAGTAATGAGAGATTGATTACTTGAATGCAGAGTGCACAAGTTTCTACATCCATGTTCCATATCTTACTGGGATATTATCTTGATTGTTTTTTTTTGTTTTCTTTTGAGAGAGGGTCTTGCTGTACAGTTTAAGCTGGCCTTAAACTCTTCATAGCCTAGGCTGGCCTTGAACTCACAAAAATCCTCCTGCCTCAGCCTCTTGAGTGCTGGAACTGCAGGTGTGGGCTACCATGCCAAGCTGATTGTTTTTGTAGTGGGACTGGTAGGTAATTTGTTACATTTTTCTCATGGTCAGGTACTCTTTTTTCTATCTTTATGGCTAACTAGTTACTAGTTTATGAAAAATACAGTTGAATTTAGATGCTGTGATGCCTTTTGTATTTGATCATAGTTTAAATTTTATTCTTTCAATAAGAGCCCAAACTAATAAAATTCATCTATTTTTTTGATGAATATACATTCAATTTTTTCTGCATATAACTTGGCACCGAAGATTCTTATCTGAGTTCTTTTTTTTGCACTGGGGATTGAACTGAGGACTTTGCACTTAAGAGGCAGTGGCTGCATCACTGAGCTAAATCCCTGGCCCCTGATCTGAGTTCTTGATTAACATTTCCAGCCTTTTCTGGCAGATTCCTTCTGAACTTTTGAAGGAACCTTCAAACTGGGGGTTAATTTAACTAGAAGTGATATGCTCCACTTCTGACCATGTGGTATTGTTTCTTCAAATGAAATTGTCCTTTGGAGTGGGGTTAAAACCATAACTTTATGATATTTGATTTCTAATTGTTATTTCTAATTGTTTATTAAGTAAAGTTTTCTCTCCTATAATTTACTTGGAATTGAAATCAATTATCAATTACTGATGCCTTAGCAACTGTTGACTTCATTAGGTTAAAAAGAAGTAGTTGTAATGATTCATAATTGTGCTAATCACATTTGACTTTTATATCCATATTAAATACCTAAACTTTGGAAAAATGTCTCTTTTAAACAAATCAAAGCACATAACTAATAAACCACATCTTGAGAGTTTAATAACTACTGAACCACATCTTAGAAGTTTCTTGAACTCCTTTGGCTAATACAGTGTAATAAACTTAGAACTTTCTGTTCAGTTTATTTTCTTGAAATGTAAAGTATCATTTAGTTGCCAATACAGAATACGAGTACAGAGTGTTCTTGGAGTGTGCTCTTCACCCCTGGAACATGTGGAAACATTTCTCTTTCTGTCTTTTCCTTCCAGAGTTGCACAGAAGAGGGAGGATGCTGTTTCCAAAGAAGTGACTCGAAAACTTTCTGAAGCTGATAATAGAAAGATGTCTCGGAAGGAGAAAGATGAAAGGTTTGACTTCTTATTTAAAGCGTCAGTGGTAATCAGTAAAGGGGGTACATTGGAGAAAAATAAGCTTTTGATTTTTGCTCAGAGTGTGGCTGTTGGAATTGAAGGTTAATTTTGGAATTGTGGCAGTAGCAATGAGAATAGTAATAGCTGACTTGCTGAGGTTTTATTAGTACCAGATACTTTTCTTTGAGTTACATAAGTTAGTTTGTTCTAAAGAATGAGGTAGATACTACTGTTAGCTCCATTTTGCATTTGGAGAAACCAAGGCACAGAAAACTTTGGTAAATTGCCCAGCGTTGTAGGTTAGCACATAGTGGATGTGTGATAGTGTTGGAAATCTGACTTGAGTGCCTTATCTATCACTGCTCTATTGGAACTTAGGAGAAGACAGAGCTTTGTCATACGTAGTCTTTGTTGGTGATATTTATGTGACCTTGAACATGTCACCTAATCCCTCAGAATGTGAAGGGTTTACGTTGTGTTAGATGTGAGAACTTCTAGGTGGTGGTATTTCTGGTCCTGAGCTTCTCAAGGGACATCCAGTTCTTGGATGGAAACTGGAAGCATTGCTTGGGGAAAAGAACAGGGTTGTCTGCTGGTTCTGTGTCATGTTTCTTAGTTTCTCTCTCAATATTTTCTGCTAATTTCTCTTTGAAGGTTTATTAAACATTCTAACATTTGAGTAGCCTGTGTCCCTGAATGACTGAGAAAATTTGTGCTTAAGAGTTGCCAGATGATTTAATATTCATTAATTTGCTTGTTTTTCGTGTATCTTTAGTTTCCCTATCAGCAGGGTGCTTAATGGGACAGTATGTACCACTTTTTGCTCCTATGTGAACTTGCAATATTAAAGTCATGTAATTTATAAAGATCAGAAACAATTTGAAAAAAGAGAAGGTATTTTAGCGAGAACCCTGACAGTGTTCGAGCACTAAATGTAGCTCCAAGCTCTCAAGTGCCCAGGAAATCATCTGCAGTTATAACAGCTTTCATTGTCTGAAGACAAACAGCATGCAAGTCCTTCTGAAAAGAAACTTTCCTGGCACTGAGTCTTGGGAGGACATTATCAACTGATGCTTATGTAGGGACACTGAGTAATTTAATGGACAGTGCCTTCTACAGTTTGGAATGACACCAAAACATAAATGAAGTGATTAACTCCTTTAGTTCCTTTATAAAACTGAAGGCACAATATTAAAGTCATGACAAGGAGGGCCTTTTTTTGCAGGAAACAGCTGTAATGCAGTCTGGCTGCAGAGCTTTCTGATTGCATATTTTTGTGTATGATAGAGGTTGGAGAATATAGAATGCTTTAAATTTTTTGTTGTTGAATTGTATTAAATAGAACAGTGTTTCATTGGGGGTAGATATCATAGCTATTCAACTTTCAAAATGCTTGTTACAGTCGTTAAAGGTTTTGGGTGATGATCCTGTCTGGGACGGCGTGTGCTCACCACAGACTTGCCTGATTGGTCTGGCCCTTGTTTTTTTTGGTACCTCGGATTGAATTTGGGATTGCGCTTTTGAGGTGGGCAGCGATACCACTGAGCTAACTCTCAGGCCCCTGGCACGTGTTCTCAATCTCAGGACATGTCTGAGAATCTGTCTAGTGTTTATATAGTCATTTCTGATGGGTCAGAGTTGGATTTAATGATAAAACTTATTTTACATATTAGGTTATTTCAAAGTAGGGTGAGGTGGATTTCATGGATGTATAAAAGGCAGACTGAGAAGATTATAAAATTTCTGTCCTTGTTATCAGTAGAAATATGTTGTTAGTAATTATCTCACAAAATCCGCAGTGGATAGTTTTACCTAGGCCTGTACTGATGATTGACTATAGTAATTGAGTGCTGAGGTTCTCATTAAAATTTGCTAAGTTTCTCTCTGAAGAAACATTGCTTCTAAGAGATTTTATCTAAGGGAAGGCTCATCAGCTCTTTTCCCAGATCTGTGTATCTCACAGCTCCATCTACAATCATTTAAAGTATATACTCCATACCACTTTGAAATTACTTTAAAATATCCATTCATCTAAGGATTGAAATAAGCAGAGGGCTGTTGAAGATCCATTTATGTTTTCTCCAGGGTGTGAGTGTTATTTACTTTTGACTTACTGATGACCTGTTACTTAACCTTTTCTGGTCGTAACAGTTGCTGTTGGATTTTAGCTTTTCTGTTGTTGCAGGAAGCTCTTCCTGGAAGAGTAACTCCTTGGGAGGTATTCTCCCAAGCTAAATTTTTCTATCAGTGAAGCTTTGGCAAAGAGGACATTTAGGGGTTTAAATTTTTATCAAAGTAACCAGTATATAGGTAGACCAGAAAAAGTTCCAAAGGCTATCTGACAGGTCCTGAGTTGTATACATTGGGGGAAACGTGGTAATAATTAGGAGCTAAGGTAATCTAATGGATTGGACCTTCTTTCATCAAAACTATTTTGAAGATAATTCTGATTCAGAACATGACTGAAAGGGAGCTAGTTAGGGAGGAATGTGTTGGAGTATTGGTGATTTAATCATTAGAGTAAAGGCATGCTAATAGATTACTTAAGGATCCTGTCTTCATTGAGTTTTGTGTTAAAAATAAATGCATTGCTTTCTTTGATCAGTTTAAAGATGGTGAAATGTATTTTCTCCGTGTGTGTGTGTGTGTGTGTGTGTGTGTGTGTGTGTGTGTGTGTATGTATGTATGTATGTATGTATAGACAGGGTCTTACTGTGTTTTCCAGGCTGGTCTTATGCTGGTCTTGAACTTGTAGCAGTCTTCCTGCCTCATCCTCCCAAGTGCTGGGATTATGTGTGCCACCATGTCTAGCCAATTTTAAGTTATATATGTTTTTAAATTTACATTTAAACTTCTTTGAAATCAGAAGGGGTTATATATTTGATAGCTTTACTTAATGTAGCCTCTTTCTTTTTATTATTATTTTTTTGTTTGTAGCATCTTTCTTTTCTCCCAAACTTAGAGTACATTCAAAATTTTTTAGGTTCATAGTATCTATAGACCCAAGGAAACATGGCATATGTGTTACAGAGTGTACATTTCTTATGATGAAGAGTCCGTTAGCCCTTTGACCCTTTATAACCAAGCTTGTTGGCTTTGTATTAGCACACAATAAATAAAAGATTTCAGCCAATGTGCGTTGTCATTAGGATGTATGAGGGTGGTAGGATGTTGTATCCTCTGGCACGGTGGGGTGGGGGGATGGTATCTTTTTTTCCAGCCAAAGCATCTACAATAGTGCCTTAAAAGTCTCTTTGATAAGGATCCACAGTAACATAATATATTTTACCTTTTGACCAAACAACACTCATGTATATGTACATGAAAATGTTTCACAATAATAATTGCCCTACCGTGTGTGGTATAGTCTTTTAATATTTTTCTATTCTTTCCTATTTCATTTTTAAAAAATATTGGCCTCAACCCATTCAGTTAATTTCTCTGGGCATTGATCCACTTAGGTCATTTCACATCCCACGGATGGTTCACAACCTACCCTTTTAAAAACTACTTTGCAGAGTTAATTAAGCAAGAGTAATACAGTGAGCCATCAGCGGCACCCTGGAACTTCTTGGTTATGTGGAAGGCTAAAACAAAAGACCGATGAAGTACTAGTAAGTAACGCAGGGTAAAATGTGATCAGGGTTTTGCAAAGTTAAATCCTCTTAGGATAAAGCTGATTCTTTGAATTCAAAGATGCCTAGTAGTCTACTTCTGTTAGGCTACAATTTTACTCCTGGGGTTTGTCTTCTGAGGTTGAAATTGAATGCCGAACTCTATAGGCTGTGCTAGAGCCTCAAGCCAGGGTGTGGCCACAGAAGCTACTGAAGCCGGTTTCCACCTCCAGTGCTTATATTAAGAGCATATTTTAGGTGAGGACTGGGAGAAAGATGGCTCTTTCAGCTGCTTTCTCTTCCTCCATAGCCCTGGCTGACAAAATTGTGAGGTACCCACCGACTGTTTCTTCAACATCAGAAAAAAAGCAAAATCTTTTTTTTCAGTGGAAGAAAGGGGATAATTCTGACTAAATTTATTGAAAATGGATTTTCAGCTGGAACACTTAAGGAAAAACTTAAAATGAGCCATGTGGTGTTTAAAGTTTTTAGTCGTATTTATAAACTTGTTTGACTTGTTTCTATGTCTCTAGAATCTTGTGGAAGAAGAATGAAGTTGCTGATTATGAAGCTACAACATTTTCCATCTTTTATAACAACAGTTTGTTCCTGGTCTTGGTCATTGTTGCTTCCTTCTTTATACTGAAGAACTTCAATCCCACAGTGTATCCTTGAGAAGGCTGACTAACTATTTGAGATGCCTAGAAACAGTGGTATTAGTTATGACTTACTGGGTATTGTAGAGGAAAGAAAAACTGCTCTGGGAATCAGTCCATTAAATAGCACTGATGTGTGTGATTATGTGACTTAAAATCCCAAAGAGTCAAAGCAAATTTGCCTGCTTTGATCACTCCTGGCATAAGCATATTTTATCTGCCGTTGTCTTGGGATTTTGAGGTTGGGTGGATGGCCTGTGTAGTTAAGTAAGCACAATTTATAATTTCTTAAAGGTATTATCCTGGAATGTGCGGCCGGACTTAGCAGTTGGAAATTATGGTGTAATGCCAGACACCCTTCTGGGAATGCTACAGTGGTTTGTCAAAAAATGGCCTAGTTCTGAGTCTGGGAATAGGCAGTTGCAGCCAGACACTGATTGACAGGCTTATTTACCTTTGCTGCTGGGGGCGGAAGGCAGAGTGTCTCTTCCTTAGGTGTTCCTACCTCGGCTCTTCTGAAGGTTAAATAGGACTTGGATGTATTCTTAGTGATCATCTGTTTAGGTCTAGCTTTGTTTTCAGTGTTTCATTTTTAAAAGTGGAACACATTCCTGTGGGATATTTTTCATCCTTATAAACTGTTTACAGACAGCTACACATCATTTTGATTATACTGAGTGTCGGAGAGAAACAGTACATTCCAAAGAGATGGACTCTTTTTATTTGGTTGAACAGCTAATATTTCTTCCTTAACATTAAATTCTTACAGGAACTACATTTTATCCATAAGTGCTTCATCAGGACTCATCGCCCTCCTGTCAACTGGCTCCAAGTAGACATGTGGCTTAGCACCCTGCTGTGTATTATGGGTGGTAAGGGTGAGAGACACACAAGATATTTTTATAGTCAGGAGTTTGAGGGCTTAAAAAAATGTAACAGAATGTAATTCATTATTTGTTTATTGGCCTTTTGACAGATTGGTGAAATTAAATGAATTGAAAGGGAAATTCAGAGTACCAGAACATTTATTAAAAGGCAAGAAGACTTGTAATGTGCTGTAATAACAAGTGGAGAAAATAACTTGTTTCCTTGATCTGTCAGAGGTCACAGTAACCTGTGGGCTGAGCTGTTATTATTTATAATAGTACCAAGAAGTTAATAACTGGTTCTCTGTGTTCCAAGCGCAATATTACAACTTTTTTTGAACCCATAAATATCAGAATGAATCCTCTTCCCAGGGGATTAACGGAAGCTTCATGTTTACAAGGTTTTGAATTTGTTAGTTGAGACCCCACACACAGTTTGTTTTTTTCAAGAAAGGCAGCCAAGGTAGTAAGTAACCTAAAAATAGTGCACAGGGCTATGAGAGTTGGCCTGCGGGATTAAAGCACACTTCTTCAGCTCTATGACTGTGGCCCTGGGTGGCCACAGAGGTCAGCTTGACCCTGCCATGTTGGTTTTATGCGTTGTCACTGGAATCATTGTTTTCTGTGAGCATGGTTTCACACCACTGGAAGAATGTTAAGAGAGAGAACCTCTTCCTAAATATTGACATGTTAAAGACCAAAGTAATTTTTGTGAATTTAATTCTGGAATTCTAAGAATTCATCAAGGAATTTGCAGTGGTGTAAGTGCTTGTCAGCATTTTTCCACTAGGACTCTTTAGTCCTCAAGTTCCTGTCTGTTATGAATAAAAAATACTGATCTCTGCAGCCCCAGAGAGTCCAGCTGAGAGCAGTACCAGTGTGTGTACAGATATTATCATTTATCGCCTGTACCATGAATTGAAAAATTTCCTACAAGTTGTGCCTCAGAGGAAATGTATTGCTGATCTTTAGTTTCCACTTCTAAATTTAAGGTGAACTTTATAAATGATATTTTTTTATAACTTTTAAACAAGTATTCATCAGTTTAGCATTTACGTATGTGCTATTAGATGTGTTTGTGGGCTGCCTCCAAGAACTTTTGAAGGAAAGCAGGGGCAAGTGTACATTTGCACAGTGACCCAGATCGTCAGTGTCTTCATCACTGCTTCTAGAAGTTGGCAGTTCTTTACTATGCTGTATCATCTCAGTGCTACTGTTGGCTAACGTAGACTGAACAGGGAAGTAAGAGATTGATTGCAAAGTACAATTGGGTAACACGTAGAGGTTCATTTTTGTTACATCCTCAGTTTGGCTGCTGGCATGGAATTTGTGTACCAGTACAGTTTACTTGATGAAATGATTCTTTGACAAATCTTAAGGGTAACCAGAGCTGGACCAAATACGTTTTAAATAGCTGGTGGCAATTTGCCACTAGAGGGCAGTGCATGTGGTGGTAGAAAAAAATCTCCACCATTCTTAGTATAAAAACCGTGTCAGTGAGTTGGGGTGGTGAAATAACCCAATATTTTCTGTATAATTTCTCTTGAATTAATAAAGCAAAAATTTGTGGAAAAGTGAGTAAGCAAAACAAATTTTTTGTGTCCTGAATTCCTATGGCACTTAAAAAAATCCTGATAATCTCTTTCTACACTGCTAGATACATTCCTGTGCATATGATTATATATTCAAAGTAGAACAGTTTACATTAAGAATTTATTGTGCTACTACTTTACTCTTGGAATTGCAGAGACTTCCTCAGTATTCTCATCATCACAAAGGGTTATTTGGTATGTAGAGATGTGATGTGCTGAATTGGACTTTGATAATGAAAACTTGCCCCAGAATTTCCATCTTTTTTTTTCTTTTGGTACTGGGGATTGAACTCGGGACCTTGCAATTGCGAAGAAGGTGCAGAATTTCCATCTTAAAAGATCCCATACCCAACACCATTAAAATAAAAGATACTCCGCTGTAATTGGGACTCAAAGGGATTGCCTTCCTATTTCTACACTCAGGATGCACAAAAACTTAATGTTAAACATTCATTTGCATATTTTCATTTTCTTATTTACAGCTTAATAAAAATCTTGGATTGAAATTTACAGGTTGTCCTATTTGGTGTGTTTATATATATATATATATATATATTTTTTTTTTAGTACTGGGGATTGAACTTGGGCCCTTGCACTTGTGAGGCAGGCGCCGGAACCATTGAGCTAAATCTCCAGCCCTGAAAAAGATAATTTGAAATAAAGTTTGAAGTTTACTGAAATAAGGTTGAATGCATACACATGATTTTTAAGAAAAGTCTTAAAACGTATGATTAAACTTTGCTTTTTAAAATTTGTGTTTTGCCTAGTTTTATGAGAGCCATGTAAATAATCACATATTTTATTACATTATTTCACATTAATTTTTCTCTTAATGTCCTACACACGCATACTCCATTTTTTAAGTCATCGATCACATATCTGTGAGGTGTGTGCCTGCTGTGCCTTACTGCCGACTTGTTTCTTTCCAGTGTGCTTGCCAGTCCCTGCTGTTTCTGGGGATAGTAAAGGACACGGTACACCCATGTACCTGTGTGGAGAAGACCAGTCTACAGATACATCTGTGTGCACGGTGAGCAGTCCTGTGCTGCCTCTTTAGACTCCAAACAGGGTAATGAAGGAAGATTGGGAGCTCTGACTAGCAGGGTTAGATTTTCAGGGAGATAGTTAATTCCTCTTTGCCTTCTTGATTTTTCACCGCATCCTCTTTTTTTCTAATTCCTGAATTTGGATTCAACTCAAGATTTTTTTTTTTTTTTTTTTTT